TTAGGTCTCTGGCAGCCTTCCAAGGGAGATAAGGTGGGTGTTTATCAACATTCCCCTGAAAGACTGCGGCAACTCGAGCAGACATCTGCCGAACCTTCAGAGTGTCAGGTTTCCAAAAAAATGCCCTAATTGATTCTTGAGTCTCGAGGCAAATTTCAAAAGAAAATTAGTCATTTATTAGGAGCATATTTTTTTTTGGCAAGACCTTATTTGAATAATAGCTGAACTTTACCCCTGTTCCTTCCCTCCCTTCAGTCTGTGTCATAAATCACATTCCCCAATGAGGTGCACCCCTCCCAAGCCTGCTGTGGTAATCTGAGATCTGACTCTAGCCGAAAGTATAGGTGGAATGCGCTCCCCTCCTTTCTCTCACCATGGCAACTGTCAGAATTGACACACAGATTGTTTGTAAAGCCTTGCAGGCTCTGAATGACCATAATTTCCAGCCGTATAAATAAAAGAAGGTTTGGGGGATTAAGATTTTGATTTAGGCTTTCTCTGGAAGCCTAGGCCAGAACACTCCCAGACTCTTTCTCTAGATTTGTCCTTTAAGGGGGAGGGGGGAATCCTCTGCATCAGTTTGGGGAGAGTCTCACCCGGTAGGTGAATGTCTCTGCATGGAAGTGAACGGTGTGCACGTCAATCTCCTGGCCCATTCCCAGCAGATACCAGTTCACCCAGTCTCCTTCACACATCTCCAGCCCGGGCAAGTTTGCATATACTTTACCATTGATTGCTAAGGAAAGAAGAGATCTCTGGTGAATAATGGCAGGACTTTTGTCTCGTGAAGAACCACTCACCCTTCCAAAGTGAGCCTTTGCATTTCTCCTCAGGGTCAGATCAATTTTATCTCTGCAAAATTATCAGCAATTCTTCTCCCTGCCTCTGACTCGATCACACCCACCACAAATAATGGGGCCAGCCTACAATCTTGTAAGAGTTTGTTGCATAAATTCAAATCCAGAAAGCACACACAGATAACTGATGCAGCAGAACTCATTAACTTCTTTATATACATAAGAAGAGATGAATAATGTACAATACCAACAGGTGGTTCTTCCAAGTAAACACAAGGCAGGAGAGTTACAGCCAAACACAATGAGTTAGTTTCATTTCAGCAGACAAGCCCAGACAGACTGCTAGTTTACTTCTCAGAGCAGCAGACTGCTCAAGTTTCCATTTCAATTCTCTGCACAGACTCGGATCTCTTTAAGCTCCCATTGGCTGACTTAGTTGCTATGCCTGTTCATTGGCTGACCTTGTTCCCATGTCTCTCCCAGTCATGAATATTTTAACAAATCTCCACCCCAATGGAGGACTTTGAACTGCACTTCACTTTGCTGAAACGTTTTGGAGTTTTGGCTTCTTCTCCGTCTCATCCTCTGTCATATCTTGCCTGATGAAGAATTTAGAGGCTATCATAAATGATATAGACCAAAAAATATATACAAGTAATCCTCAACTTATGATCATGCATGGCAGAGATCCGACGACCAGCTGGCCGGCAGGAGGTGCACGCTCATGCACGGTGGAGCTGAACTAGGGCAATGGCTCGCACGCCCACAGAGAGGGCCCTGCGTCCCACATGTGACACGCGTGCCATAGGTTCACCATCGTGGTACTAGGGTAATGAAATGTCTGCAATAAGTAACCGGGCTGAGAGACCATCAAGGAATCCACAGTTCAACCCTGAACTACAGATATTTTCTTCTATTGAAAATGATTTTTTTATGACAAAACCTCTATCTAATGAGCTCTTCCTAAGAAAATTAAATTTGTATCCATACTGGCACTCCAGAAATCTCCCACCCCTCTCAAGCACAATGTGCACGTGGAACAATCTTTTTTTTTTTTTTTAGAAATGTGTTTTTCAGAAAGAGAGTCCCATTTCTTTTAGCAATGTGCAAAGGCATCATCGCTCCTAATACAAAAAAAAAGGATAAGAGATCTACAAACCATGCATTTTGTTGCTTTCCATAAATTCTTCGTCCTGCTGGTGGGAACGATTCCAATCCCCTTGGATATAAATCTTCATGTTCTCCTCAAGGTACCAAGACTGATTTTCATCAAAAACCAAAAAGAGGAGGGCAAATTCCTTGCTCACGCCTTTCCTCCTCCCGTTGGAATCCAGGCTCCCTTTATGACAAACTTTCAGGGGCCCAACGAGGCCACTGTACAAATCCTGCCAGAAAAGGAGACAGCAAAAACTCTTTGCGTACATTTGCTAGAACTCTACACACTTTTTATTAACCCACCATCACAGAGCACATCCAGCTGCATCAGGCAAGGCCTTAAACTTTGGTGGTTCCCAAACTTTTTTTGGCCCTGCCCCTCCTAAGCGTCTCTAAAATTCTGATGCCCCCCCCCAATCCTGTGACATATAATTCTTATTTTACTCAAAAAGTGAACTCTACTCAAGCAGAGGAAGCCTAAAAGGCCATTAACTTTGGTGTGGGCTTCAGCCATTGCTAGTCTCCACCTTGACCACTAACATTTCCTTGGGAAGCTCCATCCCGCGTTGGGAGAGGACATCATCAGCGAAGGAACTGAAAAACACACACCTTGACACGATCCACTGTGGAATAGTAGATCCAACTCACACAGGCTGAATCGTTTGGTCCTGGACCAGATCTTTCGGGAACATCCCATTGATAGGTTACAATTCCTCCTAGGAGAGAGAAATTTCAACACTTTTGTTAAGAACTTTAGCAACAGGGGATTTTGCATCTGAAAATTCAGGCCTTCAGATATAAAGGCAGATTGTAGGCTGCACCTGGTGTTTATGAGGTTGCCTTCCTCATGAACACCAAGCTACAAAAGAGCACAAGCAATTAGAAAACTAATATGTTTATCAGCAGACCTAAATTACTATACAGAGATTTAAATTACTACAGGGCATCGGTTAATATCCAGGACTGCCTTTGTCCCATTGTTGATTCAACAATAATACTTTTATTGGAACAATAGTCTGCCTGTGTTCTTCTCTGATCTTTGCTAACTTTCACAAACCAAATTTATATTTTATGCTTCTACCAGCATAGCACTACCTAGTTGACTGGTTAAGAATATTGTTCTCTGCTATTGTGCATCTAAAATCTGATTGGAGTGTGTTGGTTTTGCTTATACAATAATGTTCTTTTTAGCTGTTGCTCAAAAACCCCGTTTTGACTGTGTTCTGTATTTATTTAAATATAAATTTATTTAAATATTTCTGCCTTTTTAGGACAGCATTGAAAATTCTTAGGCAAGGTTGTCCTCATTTTAGGGCAGATGACGCAGTTGTGGACTTTTTGCTACACAGAAACACCAACACAACAGTACGTAAATGAAGAAACAAAACTCAGGCGTATAGATTGCCAAGAAAATGTCGGCAAGACTCACCTGGCACTGCTGTGTTAGAGTCCCTGTGGTTCTTTTCCAGGACTCCATGGGCATGAATGGAGTAAGGCCGCGTGGCATTGTTCCTAAAAACTATATTCAGCACATCTCCCACTTCTGCCCAAATAAAGGGACCTGGAGGCAGAAAGGATAAAGCAAAAGAAGAGTGGCTGGGGGTGTCAGGCATGCCTCCTTCAGAATCCAAGAAACAAAAACCTCAATTCTATTTGAATAGAGATAAAGTACTTTTACTAGATTTGAAAGCAGCAAAAAGGAAAGCAAGATCTGAGCCAAAAAGGCACGAACAAGTGCATGTCAAATGATTACCCAGCCCCCTCCCTCCAGTTACCCCAGCCCAGTGTCCAATCTGCAACTCCCTAAAGCGTCATGTGGGGTGCATCTTCAAAAGGCCTCATCAGGTTGGTATGCGAGATGATTGGCCTTAACCAAGTCCAAACATCAGCCATCAGCATGTGCAGAAGATGGTGAGAACAAAACTCCCTTCTACATAACTCCTCCAGTACCACACAATTCCCTTCCCCAATACCATGCCGTCACCCTCCCCGTTTCTATGGCAGCCAATAGCAAGCAAGCGAAGCAGAGGCTGACGGGGGTTGCAAAATTTCAGTGGTTTTTTTTTCCTGGTGAACAGCAATGTGTAGCCCCCTCCAAGCAGCTTCATAGAGCAACATAACCACTTGGCTTCCGAGGGAAGGAGCCAGCGTTTTGCTTAGTTCTCCTGGACCCCATGGCTTCCTGACCAGCTCAAGGCATCGGTTTACTCTCCAAAGCACCTGAAGGCAGGGCAAGAAGCAAGAGATGGAAGCTTATCGGAGGAAGATTCAACCTGGAATTAAGGAGAAATTAGGGAGAACGATGAATCAATGGAACAATTTCCTTCTCAAGTGTTGTGGATGCTCCACCCCTGGAGGTTTTCAAGAAAAGATTAGACAATCATTTGTCCAGAATGGTATAAGGACTCTTGCCTAGGGCAGAGTGTTGGATTAGAAGACCTTCAAAGTCCCTTGAAGCCCTAGGACACTAGCCTTCCCAGGCTTTGATGAGCAGTGCCAGAAAATCCAGAAAGACCTGTTGTCCATCACACTTCCCCAAAGCTTGTAGGGACGTCTCTAAAGGATCCGATGTGCTGACCAAAAATTGTTTCACGGACACTTCTCTGCCCACTCCGACATGCTTAACTTTCCCCAGGCATGAGGTAAATGCAGAAGCTCTTGGAGTTTTGGAAAGGCAGGCAAAAAGCAATAATACACGGACACACAAAAGTTACAAACCCGATTGCAAAAAATACGACTTCAGCAACAGAGTGGTCAACATCTGGGATGCCCTACCTGATTCTGTGGTTTCTTCCCCAAATCCCCAAAACTTTAACCTCAGACTCTGTACTGTTGACCTCACCCCATTCCTAAGAGGTCAGTAAGGGGCATGCATGCCTACAATCCCTGTCCTAATGTCCCCATTTATTTGTACCCATTTCCTGTGTTCTTTTTCATGTTTATCCTTATTCCTGTTATCTTGTACATGAGTGACAAACTAAATAAATGAATGAAATGAATAAAAATAAATAAATAAGCTGAAGTGCTTTCTCAGGGCAAATGAGGATGACCTGTCCTTGACTTGCGATGGCAATTGGGACCGGAAGAACTTCTGTCACAAAGGTGGTCCAAGCCGGGAACGGCACAGGTGCAGAAACACTGAGGGGCTGGGAGGGGGCGGGGAGAGTGCCTTATCCCAGTGACTTGAGACTCTTGGATGGTGGCTTCCCCTTTCATTTTCTGGGAAAGTCAGAAGGAAAGATTGCAAATAGCCACCATGGGATTGTAGGACGCTGCAGTCAGTCAGAAGTGCAAACCAGCCACTGAGGGCCCAGATGGCAGTCATGTGGCTGCAGGGCTGCTGGACTTTGCCGGAACTCCAAGGACCCGTCGGGAACCACAATTTCTTTCATGCCCTCATAACTTTGAACACTGTAGATCCTTGATGGGGAACCTAGGGCAGGTGTGCACAAAGTGGCACGTGGACCCATGTCACCTGGCGTTGCCCGTTCCTCTTCTGGGTTTCTGGCATGCATGTGTACACACCAGATGATCAGTGTGCACATGCACAGAAGCAACCGGAAGACTTGCTGGCCGGCGCACATGCGCACTCCAGAAATTGGAAGTACATTTTCTGGCACGCGCATGCCTCCTAGGCAGCTCCTCCTCCTGGTTGCGGCCCAGACAAGTGTGTGTATGCTTCCTTTTTGCCACTTGGTGCCAAAAAGGTTCCCCATCACTGCTGTAGATGCTGTATGAATGGTTGCAGGCCAAGGACTATCTTGAGGGCCTTCCCCCCATCCAAATGATCTCCCCCCACCGTCCACCCAAAAGCCACGTGGGGTTGCCCAGGGCAGGAGTCCTTATTCCATCCTGGGCCAATGGTTGTTCACCTTATCCATATTTAAAAGACAATCTTCCATTCCTGGGATGGAAATCTCTTAGTTGAGAAGCTGCAAATCTTATCCCAGGAATCTATGAAAAAGACGCACTCTTGAAAACAATGCCAGAAAGAGTTTAAAATTCTACTAGCTGGAATGAAAGTCACACCAGAAGGTTTCAGTGGGCTACCTAGTATCCCCAGATGTTGCTCAGCATCTGTTCTCTTCTTCGGGGTCTTGAATGTCCCGTCTGTATATTCCCTATAAACAACTTTCTTGTATCGGGAGCCCAGTCGTCCATTCTCACGGTTGAGGAATATGTCGCCATGCCTGTGAATTTCAAAATTCCTTTTTCGCATGAAAGATGCATGGTTAGCACAAATGAACAACTTACAAGGGTGTGTATCAGGCTTATCATTCATTGCTTTGGGCAGATTTAACTCATGGAAACCTGGCTTTAACTGATCTGGACCAGGCTGACAGCAAAAGCCGGTAAGGAAATCAGACGGATGTAAAAAAGAAAAAAGTTCAAAAATATTTCTGCGAACCTTACGTATGATTTTTGAGTCCTGACGTGGCCTGGGGAATTTCAACAGATGGAAACTAATTAAGGAGAGAAGCAACCTACAACCAAGGAGAAATTTCCCTACAGCAAGAACAATCAATCAGTGAAACGGGTTCCCTCCAGAGGTTGTGGGTGCTCCATTACTGGAGGCTCTTAAGAAGAGATTGGACAGCCATATGTCTACAATAGTACAGAGTCTCATGCTTGAGTGGGGGTGGTTGGATGAGAAGACCTCCAAGGTCCCTTCCTGTTACTCTACTAGAACCACTACATAATTGCTCACTTCTCTGAGCTGTCAATAAGCTTTTGCTGATATTCAGGCAACACTTAATCCTCCAGTAAGTGAGGAACCTCCAGTGTGAGACCACAGAGAACAGCACTTGGTCTCCTCTGAGAAAAGTCCTTCAGCTCGGGGGTGAAATTCAGCAGGTCCTGACAGGTTATGGAGCGAAAACTTTGAGTAGTTTGGAGAACTGGCAAATGCCACCTCTGGCTGGCCCCAGAATAGGGAGGGAATGGGGATTTTGCAATATCCTTCCGCCTGGAGTGGGGAGGGAATGGGGATTTTGCAATATCCTTCCCCTGCCACACCCACCATGTCACGCCCACCATGCCATTTCACGCCCACCATGCCATGCCCACCAAGCCACCCCCACAGAAGCGATAGTAAAAAAAAATTGATTTTCACCACTGCTTCAACTCCTTATTGGCTCTTCTCTGGGCTAATTTTCTAGGGCTTCTTCTCATCCCACTAATCGGCTTCCTTACCTTCCTCAGGATCGTTCCCCATTATCCTACCTCTCTTTTAAAATTCTGGCCTGTAAGTCTAATTGATTTAAACATCTTTCAAGAGAATCCCCCCAAAACAACACGATTGACTACATCCCATTTCCCGGAAACAAATCCCCAGAAGCAGAGCTGTCTCCGAAGCAGCACCGATACCTTTCCTCTCCTGAGCTGTTGTGCCTTTCCGACTCCCAGCTGCGGTCTGGAGCGTAGTCCCACTCCGTCTCCTCCGCCATGATGTAAAAGGTCCTCACGGTCCCATACTGTCGGTTTGGAAAATAGGCCTTTTCCCCACACTGCCGAACAGAGTATCTGCCTCTCATTCCATTCTGATAGTGGTTGCTGGTCTGACAGTAAACACCAAAAGTGCCTGGAAGGAGGCAAACGAAGCTAATGAGAAGATGCCCGGAATCAGGATGGGAGCAAAGACACCCTTGAAGCTTCTCTACCAACTTTGGGAAAGGCAGATCGAAATTCTCTCAGATCTGGCAACAGGCCAACATTTTTTTGGAACATCACAGATGTGCATCTTCCGGTTTAAAGAAATAAACAAAACGCTTAAACTTTTCCAGGGACTGGGGATGGGGGTAGTAGTATTTATGGATACGAGTAAGTGGGGACAGGGACGGTAGGCATATTAGTGCGCTTATGCACTCCCCTGACAGACCTCTTAGGAATGGGGTGAGGTCAACAGGAGGCAGTCTAAGGTTAAAGTTTTGGGGGTCTGGGGAAGAAACCACAGGAGAAACCGCAACGCCTCACGTGCCCTGACAAATGGCTCCACGTGCCACCTGTGGCATGCGTGCCATGGGTTTGCCATCACGGTTCTAAAGCCTCTGGAAAGCACAGTCAGTCTGGCCAAAAGTGCGGGACAATATGGGGAGCTGTGGTTCCCCATGCTGTGAAGGGCCATGTCAGTTTCTCAGTCCCGAGAGAGGGAAGGGGGGCACTGAGTTATGCCTTTACCTTGGTTATCGGGCTGCATGAGGGCTGTGACAAAGGTGTGAGGGAAGAGACTGGCTGTATCTCGCCTCATCCCATTCCTCAGGATGGTGTTTCCTTGGAAAACAACCCCATGAATGTCGGTTTCACTGCCAAAGCCCAGCAGGTGCCAGGATACGGTATCTCCTTTGCACATCTCCAGGAGGGGCAAATTTCCAAAGAGGAATCCATTGATGGCTTCAATGCAAAAGAAAACAGGGGAGAAAAAAAATCAACAGTAGGCTGAATTTTCAGGGGACATTTCATCCAGCAATAATTTGGGAATGCTCAAACTGAGTAGAAAGCAGGATTCGAACTCCAGAAATCAAAAACTGAGATAAAAGAGGGAGGGGAGCAGTGGTGGGTTGCTCTTACTGTCACGTTGATAATGCGCTCGCATGTTCTGTTCACGCACACGCCTGACTTGCACTGTGCACGCATGCGCAATCCACCGCCCCTGCGACAACCAGCTGATTGTTGGGGCTTGCGCAGGCACCACACGCTGTGCGTGCGCACTTTGCCGTTTGCCATAAAAACAGGTATAGAGTGCGGGCAGGCAGGCAGGCCAAAAGAGCCACCATTCCGGTACGCTCTCAGCTGCTCTGGGCCACTACGGGTACGGCCGTACTGGGCCGTACCGGCAGCAACCCACCTCTGGAGGGGAGAGGATTGCCAAATGCCTGGGCTGTAGCCCCCCACAAGAGCTGTGGGGCTGCCTCAAAGGGCAACTGGGGTGTTTTTTTTTCCTTGCGGAAGAAAAAGAACTTTTGCTTCTCATCCAAGAAGCTTCATCGGTTCTGGTAGGGGCAATAGAAGACAACAGCTGCAGGGCTCCTCCCCTTCCTGCCTTTTCCCCCTGGGGGCTTTGTCTGCTTACCAATTCCTGCCTCTTTGCTTTGCAGATGTTTGCCCATGGATGCCTCCACAGCCTCCCCCCCCCCTCTTTTGATACCAATGCAGCCCTTTCTGCTTTCTTTTTTCCCTTTATGGCTCTGATGCTTCCACAATCAAGGCAGCCATTCTTCCTGCCAGCCACTCCAAATCCAGGATAACTTGGCTGATAGCCAGGAAGAATAAATAGTTCAGCTTCTCAGGAGCAAAGCAGGAGGACTTCTACACGGCAACTTAAAGATGTCAAAAATAAAATAAAATTAAGGGAGAGGCTGTGGGCGTGGGGTGGTACGCTTTGCTCCGTCTGGGCAGAAACTCAAAGGATGCTGTCAAGGTACTGAGGATTTAATAGCTGCCAGCTGATGAAAGGTTGTAAGCTGTAATCCGTAAGCTGATGCAATTATAAGGCAAGGCTGATGCAATGAGGCAGCTATAGGATAACCCTTTTAATACTCTGACGGGAGGTCCACACAAGTCTATATATAGGTGGTTATTAGAGGGCGTTTCTCTCTCTCTCATCATGTATTTCATTTTCTTTACTTGTGTCTGTAGTGAATGGAAAGGGATTTTATTTAACCACGTGCATGTCTATATATATTTCTGTTATCTATAAACTACTCTTAATTGTCTTAAGGCTCTGTGAGCTGTGTTTGTGCTCCTGGGTATATCTCATAATAACAGTCACGCTGCCAAAACTCTGACAAGTTATGGGCAAGGGTGTTCTGACAACTGGTAGCAAAAAAAATTGAGTAGTTTGGAGAACCGATAGCGGAGATTTTGAGGAGTTCAAAGAACAGGCAAATGCCACCTCTGACTGGCCCCAAGAGTGGGGTGGGAATGGCCACGCCCACCATCCACGCCCACAGAACCGGTAGTAAAAAATTTTGAATTTCACCACTGGTTATGGGTCCAGTCTAGAGAGAGGACTAGAGTGACTAGAGGGCTTGGAGAGAAGAGTAACCCAGTGTGAGCTTGCACCAGAATAAATGGTTTAAATCGTGGTTAGCAGGCAGCATGGCATAATGGGAGGAGGTCTCCTGGTGTCTCGGTTGAATGAGACAAAATACCTCTCCTGGAATGTGAGAATGGGAGGTTCTAGAGAAGGTAGGTGGACCAATGCCAGTGAGGATACTTAATGGGCCCATTGCTAAGATATTTAAAAATGGCAACTGCTGACCAGCCTAAAACATAGGAGATCAGCAACCCAGGATAAAATGACTGTCCAGGCAGTGGCCGCAGGAGGTGAGGGACAGATAGGCACTGCAGCCAATCAGAGTTGAGACTGCTACTGGCCTGGAACACAGCACTGGAGAATATCTGAAGGGATCTAAGACTCCTAACTCAAAGCAGAGCACCCCCGTGGACTTCTACAGACATTCATCCAAGCCATGAAGTGTAATCCATGTCTGGATTTCACTGCTGTAAGATGAAAACTTAAGCATTAATTGAGAAACCCGAAAGTGGGAAAACCTGGATTTCTAAATTTTGGACCTCCAGATGCTGGATTTTAATTCCTATAATTTTCAGCCAAGGTGGGCATGAGTGATGCTGGCTAGCAAGGATAGAAATCGGGTCAAGCATAACAGAAAACGGAGAGGAAGTCTACTGTTCACTACGAGCTCTATGAATTGTCCATGTTTGATTTTAATTTGCAGATTGTCCTTGTACAAGCAATAATGGAGAGAGCTGTTGCTTTCAATCTTTTCTTTGAAGGATGTCCTGAAACTTTTCCTCAAGGAAAAGGATGAGGTCAACCTACGTAAACACCAGTGGTGGGATTCAGCCAATTCGCACCACTTCAGGAGAACTGGTTGTTAAGTTTCTGTTGTTAAGTTTCTGAGCAGTTCGATGAACTGGTTTTTGGAAGAAATCATTAGGGGAGAGAACCGGTTGTTAAATTATTTGAATCCCATCACTGGTAAACCACCATTCATTGTCAATTTGTTCAAATATTTGCATCCACCACTACAAATTTGAGTTGCTATAATTAATATCTGAGGGTTATGAGCCTGTTTGATGAGTCAGACTTTGAACTGGAACAGAATTTGACTTTGGAATTCTGCTCTTGCCTTTTGGTACCCAGCAAGTAGATCATAGATATGAAATGTGGCTCCTCAGAGAAAGAGGCAAGACTCAGGAGAACAGTCATGCCCTACTCATGCTATAACAGGACTGTCAAACTCCTGGCCCACAGGCCAGATGCATAACGCATTGGCCATGCCTACCCCCGGTTTAGCGAAAGTCCTGATACATCACGTGATGCCTCCGTGATGATGTGAGTTTGACACCCCTGTGCTACAAACCCTAGAGATTGAAAGATTGAATTGGAAAACCATTTCCAACTTCAGGCCAGACTTACTCAATGAATGTTGCTCTGATTCACTTGTTAATCTTTGGGTTGGTATAAAACCACACTCAGCTCTGATTCTTGAGATTTGTCTCTATGGAAGTTTATTTTATTTTGTTTATATCCCATCTTTATTATTTTTATGAATAACTCAAGATGAACATATACAATCCCCACCCCCCAATAATAACTCGGTGAGGTGGGCTGGGCTGAAAGGCCATGACTTGCCAAAGTCAACCAGTTGGCCTTTTCATGCTAAGGGAGGACTAGAACTCACTGTCTCCTGGTTGCTAGCCTGGTGCCTTCACCAGTAGACCAAATGTTGGTTTCTGCAGTGACATTGCTGTGTTTCCTGAGATGAAAACGACACTATAGAGCACTGCACACCAAGACAACTAGACACAGTTTTTTCCCGAACGCATCACTCTGCTAAACAAATAATTCCCTCACCACTGTCAAACTATTCACTAAGGCTGCATTACTATTACTATTAGTCATCGTTTTTATCACCTATCTTATCCCATTTATGACTGCAGGACTGTAACTTTGTTGCTTGTATCCTTACGATTTATCTAGATATTGATTGTTTCCTGATTGCTTATTTGTATCCTATGACTGTCATTAAGTGTTGTACCTTAGGATTCTTGATGAATGTATCTTGTCTTTTTATGTACATTGAGAACATCTGCACCAAAGACAAATTCCTTGTGTGTCCAATCACACTTGGCCAATAAAGAATTCTATTCTATTCTATTCTTCTTTCCTCTATTCTATTCTATTCTTTTCATTTCCATTCTATTCTATTCTATTCTATTCTTCTTTCCTCTATTCTATTCTATTCTTTTCATTTCCATTCTATTCATTATTCTATTCTATTCTTCTTTATTCTATTCTATTATTTCCTCTATTCTATTCTATTATTTCCTCTATTCTATTCTGTTCTTTCTTCTATTCTATTCTATTATTTCCTCTATTCTATTCTATTCTATTCTATTCTTCTTTCCTCTGTTCTATTCTATTCCATTCCATAGCATTCCATTCCTATTCCTATCTATCTCACATCCCTGAGCTCTGGTAAGAAATTGAGCTGCCATAAGATCTCCAACATCCTATCCTGCATTGGCTGATCCTTTGCTTTCATTCCCCAGTTTGGGCACATCGACATACCATGCATTCTATTGGACTCTTTGAAGATGTGATCCTCAACCAGTTCTTCTTTCCCCAGTCTGTATTTCAGATCCTTCCGATTTGTATTCAGATACCAGCTTAGGTTTTCATTAAACACACCAAACAAAAGGTAAAACTCTTTATCAATGCCTTTCTAGGAAACAACACAGAGGATATCAGGTTTTGATAACCGAGGAGAACATCTACTTTGCTATTTCAACCACCTCAGAGGACAGAGGGATTTTTTTTTGGTAGCCTAGAGTTATGAAGTGGGTGAGAGATAGCAAAACATGTGGGAATAAAATGTGAGGAACTGTTAAAACAACAGGACAATTTCTATTAACTTCTATGGTGACAACAGAAAGGTAGTAAAATAGTTAGATTTGTTCACAGCATGCTTCTTTATCTACTTTATCTAATAATATTTGTAGAGGACTCATACAAGTTGGGATTCAACACATCTGGAAAACAAATGCAGCCAAAGCAAAACACACACACACACGCAAATTGTGGCGTAAAAGATAAAGGTTCCCCTCGAACGTAAGTGCTAGTCGTTCCTGACTCTAGGGGGCAGTGCTCATCTTCATTTCAAAGCTGAAGAGCCAGCACTGTCTGAAGACGTTTCTGTGGTCATGTGGCCAGCATGACTCAACGCCGAAGGCACACAGAACGCTGTTACCTTCCCACCAAAGATGGTTCCTATTTTTCTACTTGCATTTTTAGATGCTGTCGAACTGCTAGGTTGGCAGAAGCTGGGACAAGTAACGGAAGCTCACTCCATTACATGCGCTAGGGATTCGACCCACTGACTTTTCAGATAGACAAGCTCAGTCTCTTAGCCACTGAGCCACCGCGTCCCACTTTGTGGCTTACAGCACGTATTAGAACGGTAGCTGCAGTTTTCTGCCCCCAAAGCAAATCTGGCCCTACGGCCTCCCCAGCCCTGAGAATGCATGCCAGTGCTGACCTGGGCTTCCAGCATCCAAAGTCTTCCCTCACAGGTTGCACGATTTCTCCACTTGGGATAGACATGAGCAAAGAAGACAAAGTACCTGCTGGTTTCTCTCATTGAGCGTGCCAGGCCGACAGACGAGTAAGGGCCCCACTAAGCCAGAGTTGGTGTCTCTTGTGGGATCCACTGCAGAAGAATACATCCAGGTCAGGCAGGGAGGGTCAGAGGCTGTGGGGCCAACATGTGGTGGTAGCACCCAGAGATATGTGAAGTTGGCAAATGGCTTGACGGATGCTCCATTTTTGAGCAGGTCTTTAAAATGAAGGGAGGAAAACCCAGTTATTTGTACATTTTCATTCATTGATCTATCAAATCATCTCACAGAAGGCCCTATGGGAACAGATGTTCCTGGCTGTTTCCATCTACAGGCATATCACCCCGTACAAAATGGCAATCGCGGAGCACCCAAATATGTCTTCCAAGATAATAATCACTAATCATTGCAATATCCATTTACTGGAAGACAAGGGTTAAGTTAGCTTAATTTCTATTTCATCCTTTCTTGGGGGCAGTGAAGGGGGAGACATATTCAAAGGAAGTGTTGGGTTGCAACCACCAGTCACTGTTATTTTCAGAAGTTCTCAGAGTGGGCTAATGAAATGAGGCAGATTAAGAATGCTTTTTTTGCATTTTTTTTGCTAAAGCATTTCTGCATAAAAAAACTTTTAAAGCAGGGAGTTGCAGAAGCCTTCCGCAACTTGGCTTCCTTCACCTCCCATAATCCACAGCTGACATGGAGGACACCAGGTTGGAGTAGACCCTTATGAAGTTGCCAGTGTTCCACATGAAGGCTTCCTATAAAACTGCTTCTGTAGAACTGGAAACAGCTTCTGTTTCTCAGCCCAAGAACATAATTTGCCTGACCTGTTCTCTGACTGAAAGGATCACGCCTGTTACATACTGTTTCCCCAAAGGCACTTGGCCTTATTTTTGGGGAGGTCTTATTATTTTTGAGGTGCAGGTGCAGGAAGCGATGGGCATTGTCACTGCGTTGCGCTGTTGCAGCAGCGAGGCATGTCGCTGGGCCCACCGTTCTTTTTGCGGCGGCTATGAGCAGGGCAGAAGGGGCGCACTGACTAGGGTTGTGGGAGCGGCCATTAGATAAGGGCATGTGGGGGGCGTAGGGCATGTTCTCCCCTCCCTTTCCCCCCACTCTCCGGCCTTGCCTCCTCATCTCATGCTGTTTCCATGGCAAGCAACCAGAGGAAATGGCGGGGAGTGGTTGCACACAAGTTTAAATATTTTCGGGGAGGGCTTATTTTAGCGCATACACTCAAAAGCCCGATTGGGCTTATTGTCCAGGGAGGTCTTATTTTCGGGAAAACAGGATATGTGTTTCATTCTGGAACAGATTAAAAAAAATGAGCACAAAGAGGTTAGAAGAACGAACCATCCTGGTGTGGGGCTTCTTCCCACGGCTTTCCATAAAGTCCACCGTGGGGCTGGATGCTGAAAGGCCATGAGGCTTTGTTGGCAAACATGACCTGAATGGTGTCACCTACTTCGGCTTTGATCACTGGACCTGCAAGGGAAAAGAGACAAGGGGCTGGATGAGCTACAACCACAACAGAACCAGCTTCAGAGGGCCTAGGTCAGAGGTCGGCAACCTTAAACACTCAAAGAGCCACAAGGGCCTAACCGGAAGCCCCCCCCCCCAATTCAATTCTGGAGCCGACCAGAAGTCCGGTTCCCCCACCATAGAGTCTCCTCCTAGTGTGGCATCCTTTTTCCTCTACCTGTCCTAACTGAAAGCCCTATCAATTGTGAAGCCAACCGGCGACAGGGAACCGCAGCAGAGGGATGAAAGAGCCACATGCGGCTCCAGAACCTTGGGTTGCTGATCCCTGACCTAGATCAACCTGGGTAGCAAAGAAAAACATTTGACCCTAGAGTGCCCAGTCGGGGCCCCTAGAGCCACCCCAAAGCTTTTGGTGGGAGACCCAGAACATGCTAACATTGCTCTCAAATTGTTCTGTTTAATGTGATAAAAAGGGGGAAATAGAAAGGATTAGACAATGACAAGAGGCATCATAGTTTATTTTAATGCAAGCATGTCCAACCAGCAGCCCAGAAGATGCATGTGACCCTGGACAGCTAGCAATGTGGCTGAACAAGATTATAAAAAATATTTTTAAAAAAAGAAATTTGTTATTTGTATAGGCTAATTCCTCTTCATTCAACATGGCCCAAAGCAAGACAAAAGTTTGGACAATCATGATGAACTGCCGGCTAATAATTCCAAAGTCTGTCTTCATTCCTACATTATCTCTTGAAGCATCAGCAAAAGTGGTTGCTTCCTCATTCTTATTCTGCTCTCTTTCCTTTTCATTTTAAAATATCAGAATAGGGCTATTTCACTATCCAGAATGAGGGATGCGGTGGCTCAGTGACTAAGACACTGAGTTTGTCCATCAGAAAGGATGGCAGTTTGGCGGTTTGAATCCCTAGTGCCGTGTAATTGAGCGAGCTCCCATTACTTGTGCCAGTTTCTGCCCACCTAGCAGTTTGAAAGCATGTAAAAAATGCAAGTAGAAAAATAGGGACCACTTTGGTGGGAAGGGAACAGCATTCCATGCGCCTTCAACATTTAGTCACGCCGGCCACATGACCATTGAGACATATTTGGACAACACTGGCTCTTTGGCTTTGAAACAGAGATGAGCACTGCCCCCTAGAGCCAGGAACGACTAGCACATATATGCAAGGGGAACCTTTATCTTACTATCCAGAATAAAAAGCAAAAAGAATAAAAGGAAATAATCACACAGCAATAGGTTGCTTTCTGAAGGGCTTCTGACTAATGTTTGAATTGTACAGTTTCCCTGTTTGCTGACTGGATTTTATTGGCAGCGTAGACTGAAGCTGATGGCCCTCCTGCATTTATAATCCTGCCATATTTTCTGTCTTTCCTCTTTCCACAAAGAAACCCATTAAGCACACAAAAAAACCCATTGCACAATATTTTTAATTAGTGGGGAAAGCAAATGTGTGAGTTTTGATTTGGGTGAGTTTCGTATTATTCCAAACTATTTTTAAATAAATTTGCATAAAATTCTATGCATTTGCTAATATAGTTATTGAATATGCCCAACAAGTTCCTCACAGGAGGTGCATTCTTAAAATAAATACCATGTTTCCCCCAAAATAAGAAAGAGTCTTGTTTTCTTTTGACCCTCGAAACTTGGCCTTATTTTCGGGTAGCTCTTATTATTTTTGAGGTGCAGGAGGTGGAGAGCATGGTCACCTCATGGCTACTGCTGTGTTGCAATATTTTAAGGGAAGGCTTATTTTAGCACATGCACTCAAAAGCCCGATTGGGCTTATTATCTGTGGAGGTCTTATTTTCAGGGAAACCAAATCTAATGTGAACTATAGTTGCGCATAATTGTGAGCTATATTGCTATCTGAGAAAAAAGTTCCACCTATCTATATAGAAACTTTGTTTTCCTCAAAATGGAACTGAATAACCTTACCTTTCTTTAGCTTTATCTGGAAACATTTTTATTTAAATACAGCTTTTAGAATTTTTGTTCTTCACTGAAGATTTCCAGGCTGTCTATCATGCATTTCTTTATTAAATTTGTATGTCGCCCATTTCACTATCACACAAATTTGGCCTGCTCACAGTATCATAAAAGCCAGTGTTTTTCAACCTTTTTGTGCAAAGGCACACTTTTTTCATGAAAAAAATCACGAGGCACACCACCATTAGAAAATGTTAAAAAAAATT